GATGAGCAGGGAGCCCGATGTGGGACTCGATCCCAGGACCCTGGGATCATGACCTGAGCCGAAGGCAGACGCCTAACCGACTGAGCCACCCAGGTGTCCCCTCCCTTTCTTTTTTTAAAGGAAAGGTGGTTTAGAAGAGTGTATAAGAGCATGGAATCCAGAGCCAGATAGATTGAGCTCATGTCCCAGTAACGCTTTTTACTAGCTATGTGACCTTCAGCCTTGATTTTTCTTACCCATAAACTGAGTATAATAGCACGTAGCTCATAAAATTGATGTGAGGAGTGAAGCAACCTATGGATATGTTCAATAAATGTTGGTTATCAGTGAACTGTAATATGTATTAGTTTTATATCCAGATAACCCCCTTATAACATTAAAAAGTAATATAAGGAATACATATTCAAGGTTAACAAGCTTAATCAATACAGCACTAAATGATAAACATAAAAAGCCCACCCTCCTCCATCAGCTTCTCCCCAAAGGTTATACCCCCATCAGGGTTCTCGTTGGATAATTTCCTTTTCAAATGGAAGAAGGAGGCTTTAGGGGGGCATAGGATCCGGGAACTGGATGAAACCTTCCTCGGCACTACTCCAAACCTGAGGGACAACTTTGTTGCAGAACACTGACCCCTGAAATCTCGTATCCACCTTTTTGGCTGAATTCCCTGATCCTGTGCATCATCCAGCAATGAAAACGCCCTGTTTCCAGGTTGGCCTCACTTACCTCCAGCCGAGTGTGCATTATAGGGCACTGCATATGGGAATCCAGCCGTCAAACCTTCCCCCAACCCTGCCCCAACAGCCGCACTGGGGAGTTAGAGTGACACGAGGACTCTGGGGCAGGGGTTTAGTCTGGACACGGTGGAGGGTTCAAGTTTCACGTATCTGCCACCTGAGGAAGCAGGGTCCTTTCTGAGCACTTGGCCAGACCTAACATTCAATTTATCTGTGTGAACTCTACCTTCTTGAGGATCCCCTATAACCGTCCTCCTTGTTTTCCTTGCAGATTTAAAAAGAAATGACTATTCTCCTGGAAGGATAAATTCCACTTTGGGACTTGATAGCAAAATAGAACCAGCTGAGGGGCGTCCAGCAAGGGAAAGGGGTCGTAATTCTCCAGAAGACCTCACCCGCCTGTAAAAAAGGAAGGAGAAGCCAGAGGGCGCCAACTCTTCCCCTCCTTTCCGGGAACTCTGGTAACAGAGATTGATTGGAGTACCATAGGTGACAGCAGAGCCTCTGTCAGGATGGCCTGACCGTGCGCCCTCCCTGAGACACGCCTCTGAGCCTCGCGTCTCGCCTTGCCGAAGGACCTCACTGGTGTTGGATGAACGGGTTCTCCCAGATACCGACCTGTGTGTGTTTGTCCTCCCGTAGTTGGGGAGGAAGACACTCAGACGAGCCAGCTGGGAATACTGCTCCCTCATACCTCATTGCTTTAGCTGGTTGCTTAGAACCCTTGGAGCAGGATGGTGGGCACTGAAGAACCAGGGACATTAATTTAATTTATGTTCTCACTGTGTGCACTGACTCGAGCCCCCACTGCTGTTCATTACCTCACCCACGTATTGTGTTTATGTATGTACGTGTGTATGAATAAGGCATTTGACTTCCTCCTTCCCCAAGGTGCAGGGCTTTGAATAGCAACAACAAGGAAAACAACGGAATGGGGTGTCTTTGCACAGATTGGAGCACCCTCCTGCCTGGTCTCACCAGTGAAAAAGTTAGTATCCTGGTGAAATCTAGATGGATTTGAGGTTTTGTCAGCGAACCACATGATGCCTGGACATTTCAGTTTTCTCCGAAAGAAAGGAAAAGGGAAATCTAAAGCAAATGCTCCTGCATCCTTTTTAAATTCTTTTTCTTAAAGGGGACCAAGGGATAATGTGGAACTAGGAGTTGCCACGAAATATTTTCCCCTCCCTTAAGCTCAGGGGTACCATCAGTTAGAGTTGACTAAGCCAACCTCTAAAACAGGACTCCCTTTTCCAAAGCTGTGTATATAATATTACAGGCTAAGTTACTCTGTCGGGTCCTCTGGGGGCAAGATGGGGTTTCTGACTGGAAATGTGCTTCGAAGGTGTTTGCTTCGTTCCAGTGCAGAGGGCCGGTGGCTTAAAAGAGTGCCCTGGTGAGCATTTTGAGGATGGCCTGAGAACATGTAATCAGCTTCCAAGGCCCAAAGGAAGGCTCCCAGGACGCCTCACCACCCAGAACCTTTGGGGGACCAGCCATCTCTCTTGTGCACTGGTCAGGGTCACCCCACCTCAGAACAAGCATAAACTTTTCACACAAGGAGGGAATGGAGGGCTTGAAAAATGTCAGCTCCCCTTTGTCTTTAGCCCTTACATGAGCTGGTTTGCTTTTTCACCGACATGCCTGCATTTCTAGATTATACTTCAGGGGAAATGTGGCCCAGGCACATAGGGCTGCAGAGCCACAGATTTAATTTGCCAAGGGTTGCGTCTGGTTCTTGTGTGAGTTGCAAAGGACTAATTTATACCCCTTGTACTCTGGCTTGGGTGGCGGTGGGCAGGAAATTTGGGTGATTTCTTGATTGGCAATGGGATAAAATGTTAATGCTTTTTTCAGGGCTTAACTGCTTTATCCTATTCTGCAAGTCAATAAGGGATCTCTTGGTACTTCGGTGCTGTGTTGAACTGTGGAAAGAGGCAGTTTTCCTGTCCAAGAGCCAAACTAAAGGCATTAATTGATTGGTCAAATATTTGTTACTTGGCCTGGAACTTGAAAACAAATGCGTTTTGACTTCAAATTTCTGTGTTGTGCTTCTTTCTTCCTTTCTTCCTCTTCTTTCCTTTTCCTTCTTTTCTTTCAGAAAAATCACCAGAATAATATATTAAAAAGATGAAGTGCTGGGCAAAGATCCCTGTGGGATTGCTTGTATGCAAATACCGATGTGACAGTCATGACTTTTGAGTGATTCATGACCACAGACGGGTGGGTATTCATTCATTCATTCGGTCAGTTTTATTCGCAGAGTTTTACCAAAGTGCTTTCTCTGTACTGTGTGAGTGATGAGGATGCAATGAACAAAGCATTTCTTTGCCCTTAAAAAACCTTTATGTCTCGTGTTTCTTTCTGATTTTTTTTTTTTCCCCTCTTGGGTACCCACTTTGGATTTCTGGTTTATACTAAAAAAAACTGACTTCTGGGAGAACGTTGGATCCAGTGATATGTCCCATGCTTCATCTGCCTGTGGGCAGTAGGTTCCGACTGGGATAAGAGAATTAGGGCAAATAAGAAGACCTAGCTAGGGCTGATTTTAGGAACCACTCAGGAAAAATGAGCTGTATAATCCTTGCATGAGCACAAAGCCCCTCTCACAGGTGGAATCTGACTCGGGGGATAGGAGAAGCAGCTGGGTTCGCAGGAGCCCTTCCTGAGGGTGTTCCTCTCAATGAGGCTGTATGTTCCTGGAGTGACTTCTGCCCCATGACATCTGAAAGCCCCTGACAGCTCTGGGGAATGAGATCAGATAGAGTTTTGGGTGTTTCTCACCCTGTTATTATTTTCTGTGGCTTTGCAAAACAAGTTCTAGGTGATTAAGACTTCCCAAACAACCATTTACTGGATGTTTAAAAAATAATTTCATTTTTTTGGTGGCGGTTGTTTGTTAACTGTTTTCGAGGAGACGGACCACTGAGGTTCTAGAAGTCATGACACAGATGCCCCAGTCATAGTTTGTTGTCTTTCTCCATTAGTCAGCAGCATCTGGCACAAAACATGGCACATCATAAGCTTCCAACATTATTTGTCGAAAGAAATAATAAAACCTTCAAATGGTAATGGATTTCATTCACTAGGTAATAAATCAGATTTGCATTTTTAATCTAGAAGGGACCGATTACCAATTCCTTAAGACCCCACACAATTCTTTTGATCTCTCTCTGTTTTAATTTTCCAGGAAATAGCTTTTAACAACCTACACCTTGTCTATTGAATTCTCAACCAGTTCTTGCCCTTAACATTGTTGTGATACCAGAGTACGGTCCTTCTTACTGGTGACCGTTGAAATGAGATTATAACTTCCCAGAAACTGCCTAGAAATAATCATCACTTTATTACCTTTTGAAAAGAAGATTGATAGAAAATTCATTTGAAAGATGGTTCATTACCATGCCCTAGTCCGATTTCTTTACTCACATCTCTCCAAAGCATGAGAAAGGGAGGATTATTCTCTGAGGTCGGAATTTGAAGGCTGTGTGTTTGCCTCTTTGAAGTCTTGGTATTTAATTTTCTGTAGTCATTTCTTGGGCAATTTTCTAAGAAACTAGTTGAAGCTAATTTATCATAAGTTAAAGTCAAATGACAGAGAAGATTTTTTTCCCCTTAACAGTCTTTTATTCCACAGAGGTTAGCTTCTGAAGGAAAATGAGACTTAAAATAGCATTTCAAATCTCCAGCCACATGGGTGGGTCCATAGAATAGAAAGCGTTCCGGAAACCTCACTGTTTTTTGTTTTTCGTTTTTTTTTAATTTCGCAGTTATTATTTTGTGACTTTTCTTTCCAGACCATGATGTACAGATAAAATATATTTTTGTGAAATGCCCTCCTAAAAATAATTAGTAAGTTGCTTAATGTTTCAAAGAGATTTTTAGTCCTCAAGGGGTAGCAGATCTTGGTCTGTATCATTGGCAGATTTTGGTATAACTTTATATAATTTGTTTAACCTTTCTCTTAACCCCTAACTCTGAAATGGAGATGAGATGTTTACCTTTTCAAACAAAGGTGAACAATAATGAGAGAGCATTTATAAAACCCTTTGAGAATCTCATTTACCAGGTTTCTTGAGAGCATGGGATCCAGTTCAATAAATAATAAGGGTTTTCATTTTTGATATTATGTGATCATTATTTAATGTTTACAGAGGATACTCAGTGGACCTGTTTCAGTGTAAACACAAAAGTGGGCTCTGCTATTTCTCCGTTTCCAAGGGGAAAAAGCTCATTGCTCCCTTTTTGTTTTGAAGCTTAATTAAATAGCTCAAAACCAGGAAGTTCACCATTTCACGTGTCTCCTATTTATTTTGCTTTTCGTTGTATTTAGGTTTATGCAGTGAACTTCTTTTGCCATCTTCTCCCCAAAGAAAGCCTTCCAGAACAAGTAAAGCCCAAATCTGGCACCATGATTGGTGACGTTTTTGGGAATAAAAGGAGAGCAGGTTTAGAATCTTGATGTTTGTAAAGCTGGATGCTTTACAAAAATTTTAATTAATGGTGACTTAAATTTTGTCAGTATGGAGCTGTTTAGTAATAAGAAAATTCTGGCCTCTAGCTTGCCAGCGTCTTTTAGCAACTACAGTTGACTGTTGAAAAATGTGGTTTGAATTGCATGGGTCCACTTATATGCAGATTGTTTATAGTATAGCAGTATAAATGTATTTTCCTTATGATTTTCATAATAATATTCCTTTCTCTAGTGTAGTTTACTGTAAAAATAGAGTTTATAATACATACAGTACTGAAATAGGTGCTATTTGACTGTTTATGTTATTGATAAGGCTTCCGGTCAAGAGTAGGCTATTGGTAATTAAGTTTTTGGGGAGTCAGAAATTATGCATAGATTTCCAGCTGCAAGGGGGTTGGTGCCCCTAATCCCTGCCTTGTTCAAAGGTCAACTGTAACATCCTTTAGAATTCTCACCTTTCCCAGTGTTGTTTTTTTTTTTTTTTGGTGAACCTTTAGAAATCCCATTTGCTACATTAGTATCACCAAGTCCTCACAAGTATTATGATAGAAACCCTTTGGCTAATGACTGTCCAAATGCCTTTCCTTGGAGGTATTTGGGGGAATCATTATTGGTATCATGTGGTTGCATTTTGGCTTCCAGTGAAACTTTTTCTCTGTTTCCCTATGGGTCACCAACTAAGAGGTTACAGAGCCTCAGGATGCTTTGGTAACCAGAAGAAACTCTTGGTGTGTGTTACAGGCTGAAATGTGCCTCCCCTCCCTTCACCCCCAAATTCATGTGTTGAAATTCTAACCCCCAGTACCTCAGAATGTGACTGTATTTGGAGATAAGGTCTTTAAAGAGGTAATTAGGTTAAATGAGGTCATTAAGGTGGGCCCTGATCCAGTATTATTGGTGTTCTTATAAGAAGAGAAGATTAGGACACAGA